CATTTTCCATCTGACCCACGAATCGGCCCCCCACAAGCAGCCCTACCAGGATTACCCTTTGAAGCACCATCTGTATATAGCTTAATTCAATCAGCATCTGGCGGGACCCATTTGACTAGAACCTCACTATATCCCCTATCCATTCTTATCAGAGACAGCAACCCAAATTTCCAACACTTTTCCATTGCCATAACGAAAAGATATGGAGATAACGGATTCCCTTGTCTGATCCCACGTGTAGGCTGAAACTCCTTAGTTACACTACCATTCCATAAGATATTGATTCTTGTGGAGGAAATTGCTTGCAAAATAATATCAACTAATTTTTTAGGGAGCTTCATTTCATGCATAATATTTTTCATAAAATTCCAGTTTAACCTGTCATATGCCTTCTCGAGGTCCACTTTTATAGCCATGAAGACTTTATTTCCTATTATGCGATGCATAGTATGAATGATTTCTTGCACCACTATGATATTATCTTGTATGTGCCTTTGTGGAACAAAGCTAGCCTGCATAGGGGATATTACCTTCATCATGACTGGTATTAGTCTCGTAACCACTATTTTACTCAATATCTTGTAGATAACCGGGCATAAAGAAATGGGTCTGAAATGAGTAATATGAGATGGAGACTGACTTTTTGGGATAAGGACTAGAAGTGTCGATTACATCGACGAGAGCGAGGTTCTTCCTATAGTAGACAACAAGAATCACATCAACAAGTTCGACTTCTGCTGCCCCTTTGTGTGTGGGTGATAACCTTCTTTGAGGGAAGGGAACCTCCTTAGTTGGCTAAATTCTCAAATCTCTGTATTCATTCTGAATGCAATTGGGTTTTTTATGCAAAGGTCCTAACAGAAAGATAATATAGCGATAAGATTCCTACGCATGACTCCACTAGAGCAAGGCAATAACAGAAATACATCCTTAGCAGAATAACAATGCAACAATAACAAATAACAACTCAGTCACTCCTATTCCTAACGTCCTCCACGTGTTGTAGTAGGTACCCTCACTTTATCTTGTAATCCTTCATCCACTTTGGTTGGGCTCTATGGCATTTGGCCCATCTAGGACTAGACTGAAACCCACTGCTCTCTTCCTCCTGCTGTTCTTCTTCGGGGTAGTCTGCATGCTCACTGACAACATTGTCAAGACTGTGACGAAGGTGAGATCTTTAATGGATGAGATGAGGATGCTGAGTAACATAAACGACCATGAAGTTTACGCATTCTCGAAGAAGTTAGAGGTACCACACGCTCTTGTTGTGCAAACAAAGCAAATGGGTAAGCTCCAGTGTTTCATTTTGCTTCTGGTGGCATTCTGACCCCTGCCGATGATGATGATGCATTTGGAATGTCATGGAGTTTTTGTGGGAAATGGTGTTTTTCGTTGTGGGGATCCTTTCATTCGCGGTAGGGATCTAGTTAAGTACTACAATGCGCCTCATATGTTGGCTGACTTAAGTCATTTGTTGATGAAAATTTTTAGTTCATGTCACTTAGTATTTTTAGTTCATGTATATGTGATTGTATATGTAGTTAATGATATGGAGTACATTTTTAGTTTTGGCACTCATGTATTCACTAAACATCGATCATTTTGAATGGAACCTCTAAAAGCCTTAGTTGGCTAAATTTTCAAATCTCTGTATTCATTCTGAATGCAATAGGGGTTTTTTATACAAAGGTCCTAACAGAAAGATAATATAGCGATAAGATTCCTACGCATGACTTCACTACAGCAAGGCAATAACATAAATACATCCTTAACAGAATAACAATGCAACAATAACAAATAACAACTCAGTCACTCCTATTCCTAACGTCCTCCACGTGTTGACAGTTGGTACCCTCACTTTATCTTGTAATCTTTCATCCACTTTGGTTGGGCTCTATGGCGTTTGGCCCATCTAGGACTAGACCGAAACCCACTGCTCTCTTCCTCCTGTTCTTCTAAGTGGTACTCCGCATGCTCATCCAGTGACTTGGGCTTATTGGACTCATTCGCAAGTGCATTACTATCAATGGGGCACAAAAACTTGGCGAGGCTTTGCGGAGGATTAGCGAAGATGCGTCAGTGATAAGGGTGCAAGGTGATGTGAGATCTGGTTCAGAGAACGTTGCCAAGACTGTGACGAATATGAGATCTTTAATGGATGAGATGAGGAAGCTGAGTAACATGGACGGCCATGAGGTTTAAGCTCCCAGTGTTTCATTTTGCTTCTGGTGGCATTCTGACCCCTGCCGATGATGATGCATTTGGGATGTCATGGAATTTTTGTGGGAAATTGTGTTTTTCGTTGTGGAGATTCTTTCATTCGCATTATGGATCTAGTTAAGGCTGTTAAGTACTACAATGCGCCTCATATGTTGGCTGACTTAAGCCATGGATTGGCTGACGCAAGGGCAGGTCCCAATCCTGGTGGTGATGAGTCATCTGTTGATGAAATTTTTAGTTCATGTCACTGAGAATTTTTAGTTCATGTATATGTGATTGTACATGTGGTTAATGATATGGGATACATTTTTTGTTTTGGCACTCATGTATTCACTAAACATCGATCATTATGAGTCCATTTCAGTTACTTACGCAGTAATGCAATTGGTGTAGTTTCTACATAATATGTAAGGTTAACACATTATTTACTCCATAGAATAACTTTTCAACTCTACTTTCTATGTTCTTAATTAATATAAATCTCTAAATTTTTTTTTTTACTTTTTTGGTGAAATAAACCAAGTTACAAAATCATAGAAAAAAGACCGATTAACTCATACCCCATTCATTATTTTTAAGGGGGATTTCAACCCACCCCTACAGGATAGTAGTTAATTGTATTATTTTCATTTAATTAGTTAACTCAGTTAGTTAAATGATTAAATTACGTTGGAATTTATTATCTGAGCTAAGGTGGTTCAATTAGTTTGTCAATCGATTAAGATTGTATTAACTTGTACTGTGACGCTTTTGTTCATTGTTTATTCGGTACGAGAGCTAAGTATGAGTCGGTCTGGATTTCAAGCGGGGCAACGTTTAAGCCAGTACATTTATTTAGTACTAAACTCGTTTTTATTTTATTTTTATTTATTTATTTGTTATTATTATTATTATTATTATTATTATTTTCTTGCATCTTTAGTTATTAGCATGCATGATGTAGATGTCAAATGACAAACGGTTGTAGAACAAGAACAGCGATCATTTTGGCTCATTTTTGCAAATTATGCATCAAAATGTATCAACCATATTTTCATAAAGAAAGATTTGTATTATAAATTTGATAATTATATGATATTATTCGATTTGATTTTATAATATTCGTTAAAATAATATTTCGTTAAAAGTATCAACCATATTTTCACAAAAGAGAGATTTTTATTATAAATTTGATAATTATATGATTTTATTTTATTTGTAATAAAAACTGGCAATATGTGGCAAGCTCAAGTGAAGCAACAAAACTTGTGATTGCACGTGTGAGACCAGTAAGAAGTCAACTACGTGGCGGTCAAGAGACTTTTAAATTTCAATGCAATAACGTTTAGCTTAGCTACATGTATAAATAGTGTAAACGCATATGTGAATGAATAAAAGTTTCTCTTCTTTTCAAGACAATACTTTTGTTTTCTCTGTTCTTCGATTCATTCTACCGTCTTCACAAACACCTGAACAAGGCACTGCCAAATCAAACAACCTCGCTCTCATCACCAGATAGTGTTTGTTCAAGTCTGTAACCTTGAACAAGCTATGATGGCAGAAGAAGCAGGTGTCTGCGCTGTCACCATTTCGGCTATACCAATATGACATTTTCAGCATGAACGATCCGTCGCTCAAGCTATCAAAAATGTTTCAATTCCATTTTTGTCAGAGCGTGCGTATACCAATTGTTGGAAATCGACAATCACACAGAATCGAGAAAACAGAAAAAGAGATAAGAGTAGAGAGATTGACACGATAATTTACCCTGGTTCACCCAATATAGACTACGTCCAGCTTGTCTCTACTATATTCACCTCACCGCCACTCGTTACAAGTCTCTCGGTTTACAAGGCAAATATAAATAGGATTACAAGAAACCCTAACAGCAGCTATTCATGGGCCCAAGCCCAAACTGCTAAGAAAATTACAATAGAAACAGAGGCCTAAACATTACCTAGCCTCTACGGGCCTGAGGGCGCTGCCCCCCGGACCCCCGCCCGCTCAACTGGGAGCGGGACCACAGTTGCCTTTCTGCTGACCCCGACAATTAGGGCCAACATCATCATGTGAAGTATGAGCCATACCCAACAGGCATATCATGGAAACCCGGATTCTTGAAATTATTGGGGTCGATTACATCGAGCTTTCATGTAACAATAATCACATAAAGAAGTTCGACTTCTGCTGCCCTTTGTGTGTGGGGCACAAAATCTCGGCGAGGCTTTGCACAACACGTTGCCAAGACCGTGACGAATGTGAAATCTTTAATGGATGAGATGAAGATGCTGAGTAACATGGACTACCATGAGGTTTACACATTCTCCCAAGGAAGATAGAGGTACCACGCTCTTGTTGCGCAAACGAAGCAAATGGGTAGGCTCCCGGTGTTTCATTTTGGGGCATTCTGACCCCTGCCACTGGTGATGCAAATTCTTAGTGTGTTAGTACTCATGTATTAATTCTATTACTCGTTTAGTTGTATACAATACATAAAACTTGTTTCACTGAGGATTGTATATGTGGACTGTGGTTATGGATAACGAGTCCATTTTTGTAGTAATGGTATATGGAATATGCCTCTTTTGGTTTTTCTGATCTGCTCTCTAATTGTAGACCTTAACTTGCATCTAGTTGCTCTGAGTTTCTGAGATGAATTGGTTGGTCTCCGTATGTGAAATTTTGAATAAATCAGTTTCTTTTTTGTGTGAAATTTGTTAATTTTTGGTTGATGCTGTAACTCTCCATACATTTAGGCTTAACAATCAATCAACAGAAGAAGAATAAATGTTTCGGCAATTACATCATGTAGTGAATATCAATTATCAAATATCTGGCGATTACATCTAGTAATGGTTATTGAATATCAAATCTGAATTTTCATTGTTTTTAACACACCTGCTACTCGATTGGGTTATCCCAGGGGGTGTATCGCCCCAAAAAACACGCGGAGGAGTAATTCTCCTAAATTGTTTCCTTCATTTGGATACTTCCATTGTTAAACAGTAACCTTAGTGTAATCTCATAAGCAGAAAATATGGCACCATTCACTAGGAACGCTCTGGCAACTGCAGTTCCTAAACCCCTCCATAGCACAACGTATCCTTCTTCTTTAATGCTCTTTTTGAAGCAATCAAAAATACCAGAATATTTTAGAGAAGAGAGTGTTTGAGCCTGTAATCTTGTTTTTATAACATCAAAAGGGTAGCAACAAATCCAGCTAGCTACCCCAGCTAATCCTCCAGCTATTAGCATAGTATTCAAACTTTCTTGACCACTTTTTCTGCAACCCGGGTGAAACTGTTCCCTCATGTATTCATATGTCCAGAAGTAGAAACCATGAGAAGGTATATCCCTCATCATAGTGATGCCAAGTCCTCGATACACGCCTCGAAGGCCCTCTTTTTTCCATATACTCTTAACAACACTTGCAGGACCTTTTTGGGGTTCTGTCAACTTGCCTGTGTTCTGCAGTTGAAGTCGAATTTTAACCAACTCTACAGGGGAAAGCAATAGACTTTGTAGAGCACCGGTACCAACTCCTCCTAGAGCAACACTCTTGTAGGAAGGAGGGTCTTTAGCAGAAACAGACGAGTCAAATGCCCTTGAGAGAACTGCGTAAGTTTGGAAAACTAAAGCGTTCTGCTACCAAAAAAACAAAAGAATAATCAATGTGAGAGAGACAATGAACTTCAGTTGGCACTTACATTTTATATTAAGAAGTGAAGATGAACAAAATAAACATTGACATACTTATGTCAAAACATTTAAAAGTGTAAAGAACCTTGGAATACACCACCCCAAAAGCTAGCTCAAAGGGTGGGAGTGCCCAAGATCCTTATAAACTCCACATTAGTTGCACATACAACCAATGTGGGACTATATATCTCAACACGCCCCCTCACACAAGAGCCCATTGGGCTTGAAGAGTAGACAATGCAACAGGTCTAGCCTACTTGTGCTAAGAAATGCCACAAGAGAAAGTGGGGGGCGGCGAGGCTCTGATACCATGTAAAGAACCTTGGGATACACCACCCCAAAAGCTAGCTCAAAGGGTGGGAGTGCCCAAAACCTTATAAACTCCACATTAGTTGCACATACAACTAATGTGAAACTATATATCTCAACAAAAAGGAATAGGCCATCCTAAGGGTTATATTCTAACAATGGCCAGAAGATACACATGCACACTGTTCCACGTCGAAACAGTAGGTGGGTGACAAGAATCAATGTCAAAATTGAAAATTCATGGCTGGAAGAATCTGTCGGGATGCTAGTGTCACGATTTTGGGGTTACAAAAAATGAAAACTTTTGGAAATCTTTGAATGCCTAACTAAAAATGTAAATCAGTAAAGAGCACAATCATGATTTTGTGGGATCTCATTGTGAGGCATTGGAGAACAAGCCATCTTCATTTCCTACCTAACATCGTGGACAGATCACTAGAACTTCACACAGCTATTGGCTCAATCGAAAATTCAGTTCAATATTTGCTTGAATTGGAAAAAGAAAAAGAAAAAGTATTCGCATGATTCAAGAACAAAAGCCAAAAAGGACTCGTATGATTCTATTTCTATTATAAAACAAAATTCCCAAATTAAAAGCCGTGAGAAAGTGACTTTCAAAAGGGAATAAAGCACTCCCATCAATGAGTATATTCCAAATAAAAAAACTACTGTAGTGAAACTAAATTTTTTTCCAATCGCATCATCTATCAGAATCAAATTTAGAATCCTACAACAAATACCAAAATCGTTAAAAAGATGGGTAGGTTGAGGATGCTTTTGTGAAAATAATCTACATGCAACATCACATCACGTTTATAAGATACAATATGAAATCAAGTATAAACTCCCCATGTGATCCGATCACCATAAATTCCACTGCAATTTGTGAGGGCGTATCTGCAAGAGGCTAAAATAACATAAAAACAGTTGAGTAATGAGAGGGAAAAATGACCTGAAAAGTAACGGAAACCAATGGTAAGCACATGCCACGGTATAGAGAAGCTGGTCCTTCCCTAGAAACCATATGTCTAAGGATGCTGAATGCAGAGCCAGCATTTGAGCTCTGTTGTCTGATGCGAAGGGTGTCTAGTGGATAACCAGAGATTACACCAGCAATGCCTCCAAATCCTCCTGCTACAAACTCTCTTCCCGAAGTGCTTGCAAGAAATTCTGGCCAGAAATCCATTATCTGCTGCTCTCATTCCTCAAACCACCCTATGGATTAGATTAACTACAACTTAAAACGGATCAAATCTCGCTGCTGTCACTATTATCTATCAGGACAAACTGCCTCGGGATTCGTGTCAAGAGTTGCTAATGAGATTTTCTATTCAGCTTAAAACACTAAAACTCCAATCTTTTTCTTTTGTTTGGCAAACCCGAAAAGTAATAACACCTTTAAATTTGTATCAACTTTCAGATCTCCAATCTTGGAGAAAAGAAGGAAGGATAGAAAAACAGACAATCCCAACCTCTGCTTTTTCGATTATAGGCCAAAACAAAAGCCACCGGTGGCTATTTTGTTTGCTATTTTGAAGTGCAAAGAAAAGGCAAACGACCACTCCAACCTCCCCACGTGTACCAACACATTCTCTACACGTGAAAAACTTCAATCATATCCCTCCCGCATGGTGTTGTTGCTTTTAGCCTAGTGTTCAATAACATTTTCAAATTGCTTGATGATGCCCCCAATTGAAATTGGTTTCAGTGCCCCGCAGAAACAAAAAACTAATAACAATGACGGAGGGAATTCAGTGCAAGGCAGAAAAAAATCTTATTTACGAACTTCTGGACAACCTTATGAATTGATAGCATTATATAAAGCATTGAACCATGGTGGAGCACAAGTGAGTTGCAACAATCTGTGTCTTTATGTGTCATGTGGGGCTAGATTTTTTGAGGAAAGCTGCGAAGTTACGGGTTTTGTTATGTAGTGTGACATCACCTACACTGCCAGCATTTATAGTCTATGATCGCTTGTGAAAACGAAATTTCTTGCAAATACATTGGATGATGGCTTTTATGGTGGAGTGTTCCCATAGAATAGAGGAGCGTTAGTCTTGATGATTTATGAGAAAAACAAACATCAGAAACAATATTGTGCAACAGTTTATTTTATTTTGATTAATGAACTTGTTTTTAAATACAAAATTGAGCTCATGCAGTTGCTACTAACCAGCTGATCTTGTTGGTCCACAAAATCAGCAACAAACTAACAAAGCAATAACAGTACAATGCAGTAAACAAACTCTTAAACAAAAGACTAATCAATTTAAAAAATAACTAATTAACTCTTAAAAATTATGACATCAGCAGCGCCTTGAAACACCAACAGTTAGTAACCATGAACCTAAACCTTATTTGTTACAATATATCATAGTAATTATATAAAGTGGTTCTTTTATCTTATTTACTATAGAGGGTCCTATCAGTGCTGAGTGTTTTAGTTTGGTCCAAATCCATCAATCTCTTTAATCCATCAGTGTTGAGCACCTTGGCCGGAGAATGGATGTTTCATCCTTGAGCTCATTTTTTTTTTTTTTTTTTTACTTTAAGCAGAGAATTAGAGACCCTTTTGCCTTTTCCCTCTTCTGCAATAAAAAATTAACAATCTTGTGCAATGCTTTGTCATCGGCCTAGAACAAGTCCCACACTGCACGTTCACTTCGGTTCCTGGGTCTCAAAATCGATAATGAGTTAATAACTGTCTGGCAAGCAGGTACCTAGTAAATAATCTTATCCGTTAATATCACATGCATCTTTATCCAACGGCTTCAAATCAATGGTCCACATTCCACAGGAGCCTATATTGGACGGAAATGGATCTTTCATGTGTAATTTAACATGATCATGTTACGTGCGAAGATCTTAATCATTAACAATTAAATCAACGATGATGATTGTATAATTTTCTATCCTTATATTTTTTTTCTCTCCTTCCTTGTCACCATTAACTCACCCATATATGATTATGATTACCCTATATAACATAGTCATGTTAATTAGTATATGAAATGATTCACTCCTATATTTGGACTGACGTTGTTGAATTGAATTCACTCTTACGAGAAAAACACGAAACTAAAAGGAAAGGACAAAATTGGATGGTTTTGATTTCCACAGGAATCGCCATTTGAATATTCTAAACCGGAGAAATTAACGCCATGTTTGAAAACTGTTTTTAAAAATAATTTTTTTGGTTTTCAGAATAAAAAAAAATCCATTTGATAAAGATTGTTTTGTATCAAATTTTTTAAAATTATAACTCTTTTTTTTTTGTTTTTTGAACCAAATTTAGAAAACATGTGTTTTTATTTTATGTTTTGATTTTTAATTTTCAAAACAGAAAAATACAGAAAATACTATTTCCATAACTTTCTATAAACAGTTTAAAAAAAAATCATAACACAATTAAATAGACCCTAAATAACGGAATATCAGTCTTTAAGTTTAGAAAAAAATTCAACTTTGTCCTAAAAAAAAAAAAAAAAAAAAACCACCACAAAACATTTTAAGGGATAGCTGAATCAACAACTAGAGCTACAGGAACATTATCTCAAATACCAAAATTAGTGTTATTATTAAGTTTGTAGTGTTCAAATTGGATATTACCAACTACTTGATTACTCAATATTTGTGGGTCCTTTCTTTATGTCATCTTAAGAAGGAAAGGATTATCTTTCGGTCTCAAAGCTGCAAGTTGAGTGGCTTATGTCGATGTCACGGTTCCATTGACATAAGTTATCTCATTTCTCGTATCTTTTCATCAAATTCAAATTCTTATTCTTATTCTTATTATTTTGGTACAATCATCGAACTCTTATTAAAAAAAACATACATATAGGGGCCGAGGCCCAAATCTTCTTTTCATAACTCTCGAAATAGAGTACGGATTACGCGTATACGAGTGAGTATATAATTTGAATTGTTTAAAACAAAGCAAAATCTATTTGTCATATTACATGATAAATAAATAATTATTATATTTATATAATATTAAAAAAATGAGAAGATATATTATTCAATAAATTGATCTTGTCTTTTTTTTAATATAATAACTATTTATTTCTCAAGTAACATAACAAATATATCCCAAAAAATAAATGTGTTTTAGTTTATCATATTACATGAACACTATTCATTATTCCTGTTGATACATCGAAAATCTCACTTTCTTTTATTTTTTTCCTTTTTCTTCTTTTAAAGTGGCCCACCATAATCTCTTGTCTGTAGGATTACTATTCATTTTTCCCGTAATATAGCAAACTAAAAACCCTAAATAATAAGATTAAATTCTAAGAAAGTGGCTTACAAAACCCAATGGGTGCAGCTCAGTTGGTAACTTGGCGCTGAGTTAGTGGGGTTGGATATGTGTTCGATTTTCGCTGAATGCATTCTTGGGGAGGGGGCTGAACCTTTAGCCATCACTGTTCCCCCGCACTCTGGATTAGTCTCATAGCCGGCTTAAAGAGTCGAAGCTCGTGGGGATACCAGAGGGAGCCAACTCGTCTCAAAGAGATAATTAAGGTTGGTAACTCCAAAAAAAAAGAAAGTGGCTTACAAACTAACAACCCTAAATAATAAGATTAAATTCTTATAAAGTGGCTTATTGGATAATAGGCAGAAGCATGAAGAATATACAATTATGATTACAGCAGATAAATTTGGAATAGGGGAATAAGTATATTTCATAAGCAAAATAGAGGTATGCATGGGGCTGATGGAAATCCCAACAGCTGGAATCTAACCTACACACATTCACGGCAAAAGAAGGGGCTACTATTTTGCTCCGAAAATTGATTACTCTAAAGAGCAGGAAAGGAATCTGAAGTTGTATCAAGAACTCATAAAAATGATTAAAAATGGCTATTTTGTTCTTGAATGAAATTGATACCGTAAGAAGTGGTTTTGCATAGATGAAGGGAAGGTATTCACCATGAAGATTAATGTAAAGACTGATATGTGCTTGGAAGAGATGAGATTTTGGAGGACCAAGTCAGATTTTATTGCACGCTTCCTTGGTAAGAGAATCAACAATAATGGAGTCTCTAGTAGTTGCATTCAATCTTTTGTGAACTCATTTTCATAATTTTCAATATCAAGACTCCCAAGACATAATTTTCAATATTTCATTTTCCACCTTCTCTAGTAGGCATAATTTCAAATCTTTCTATACCAAACTGCCCTAACAAAATAGAAAAACTCGTAGATTGTTGAAGGCAAAACTGCACAATGCATGACCGAGTCAAATTGATACCTGGCACCCAGCTGAGACAGCAGTGACCTTATATAGAAATGCAATACTAGAGATGCTTAAAGGATTGTGTTTGTCCTGTGTGAAACAATTATCTAATCTCACTTCTTTCGGTGAAATAATTCAGAGCCAAAGAGTATAAGAAATTGTAGTTATCATTCTTATTCTTTTATTTGTAGTTAAATTTTAATAAAGTTTTTTTTTTGGATAATAAATTTTAATAAATATAAGATGAATTTATTCATTATTTTTACTTTAAATATAAATGACTATTGTCTGTGAAATATATGGTATTGTAATACTAAAACCAAAAACCGACTTAATTATAATATGGTTTTGTAATATATATTACTCTTCATATATATGTTAATTTTCACATATTTGAGGATTATAATTAATTAATAAATATAATTTAATAAATTACAACCGTTAGATGCACCGAGATAGTTGAGATAAGGAGTAAAATTCCTTATTCTTACAACTGAGTCAAAAGATTCATCCCTAAATTTTACTTTCGTGTAAGACTTAGAAGTCTTACTCCCTGTCCCAACCATTACATGAATGGAGATCGACAGTTGAAATAGAGAGCAAGACTTTTGCTCTGGATACTACTTATCTTAGGCCCACCAGATGGGCCCAACCTCTTAAAGCCTATATCTAGAACCTTCTAGAGCGCATCCATGGCAAGCCATAGAGGCTCACCACTGGGGCATTCCTCATCCCTGCACTGCTACCCCTGTACATTGACAGTGGACAGCTTGATGAGACAACTCAAGGGGGTTGACCAACGGTCTCCCCATGCTAGAGAGGACTCTCCTCTCTAAATATCCCTCTCACACATGGAGAGAGATCTTCTTCACCACTCCTCTCCTATGCTGTCACTCTGTCTCTATGCAGAGCTCTCACACACTCTCCCTTGATGCACATACATGGGAAGCTTCACTAGTCTTTGGTCTCTACCACTGCTACTATGGATATCTCCTAGATCAACATACTTCACTCTCCATGAGACACATCTTATGTACACTAACAGTGCAACTTTTAAGTATTACATCGGAGTCAATAGATCCCTTCTCGTATACATATATTGGATATCTACCATAATTACCTCCCGAGAAATCCCCACAAGCTTTGGGTTTCTGAGTGTGAAATGCGTCAATGATTAAGGTTTTATACTCATCTTTAAGATGACATTGATGGGAATCAAATCAAAATTCTTTTTCACCCATTCAACTCCATTGCACCAACTAAAACTGCTATTATGGGTAATTTCTCTCCATATATATAAGGGTTTGATGTTTGTCTTTTTAATGTATATAGAATTGTGTCCTTTTAAATGTATATAAAATTGTGTCTTTTTAAGTGAGAGAAGGAAATCCACAGTGAAAATTACAGAGGAGAAAGGGAGTGATTTTTAATTTAAATTTTAAATAAAATGACAATTCTTTAAAATGATAAATAGTTTTCTATATATAATATGATATTGTAAATTATAATATACATAAAATAAAAGAATTTTCCCCTAATCTAATACTTTATTAGTAATCCAAAAATAAAAAATTAAAATAGAGCGAGCCACAAAACCGACTTGAGTTAAATTATAATGTAAAATCCGAGGTAGAAAGGAAAGGAGGAATAGGAATAGGATTAGGATTAGGTGTTCCGCAGCCGCAACCATGGCCATGGGTTCGGTGAGCCTCTGCTTCAACATCGCTCATTTGCCTTTATCTTCTTCTTCTTCTTCTTCTTCTTCGTGCAACCTTGGATTACCCTTTATCTCTCTCACTCGTCGCTTCAAGAGGCACGTGGTTCGTATGGCTCCCGACGAGGAGAAGATGACTCGCCGTTCCCCTCTCGATTTCCCAATCGTAAGTTTTCCTTCAATTTCAAGTCTCTGGATTTGATTTCACTTACTGAGTAATGCAATTGGTTTAGTTTCTTAGAAATTAAGTGAGGATTCATAATATGTCACTTTAGTTGAAAAGGTTAATACATTATTTAACTCTAGTTTCTATGTTCTTAATTAATATAAATCTCTAAATTTTTGTTACCCACTAACTAAACCAAGTTACAAAATCATGGAAAAAAGACCGATTAACTCATACCCCATTCGTTATTTCAGCTCCATTAGGTGAAAAAAAAATCACAACATAAAGGGTGTTAATGTGTTATAATAAATTTTGCATTATTCTGTCATGAAAAATTATTATGTGATTGAATCACTTGTCCTATACTGTTCTGTTTGTCCTGTCATTCAATATGCATCAAACACAAATTAGTTTCTTCGTGACCATAATCTGGTGGTTCTGATAGTAATATTCAGATTTGGGTTTGGGTAATGTTAAGTTTTGTGAGATTGTGAATTTCTTTTTTGGCTTTTTTTTTTTCTTTCTCAATTTGTGGCCATTCAATACACTAGCTGATAGGTTGTTGATATACTGGTAGGAATGGGAAAGGCCTAAGCCAGGAAGAAGACCAGATATATTCCCTCAGTTTAGTCCAATGAAGACACCTTTGCCACCTCCATTGCCTGCAGATCCTCCTGAAGAGGATGAAGAAGAGGAAGAAAAGAAAGAGGAAGAGGAAAATCCTGAAAAGGAGGAGACAGATAAGCCAGAGCAGCAATAGTGTAGCGAATGACTTACTTGTCTTCATTCCTCCATTTTTCTTGATATGATATGACATGCCACACTGCTGCTTGTTAAACTTAATGAAGGGTATCATATGAAGATCTTTATATAACTTAGTTTATGTAAGTGGTTTCGTTCCATCTTCCCCCTTCCCCTCTTTCCAAAACAAAAAGTTTTCCTGGTATAAAGCAGTATTACATATGGTTGGTAGTATATACTGGAAGTATTTTTTTTTTCTTGGTCGTTTTTTGGCACTTATACCATCATTGCGAGGGACCTGGATTTCTAGTTTAAGTTGCAGCTTCGATGTTGATTGGATTATTCATGGTGAATTCATAGAGGAATGGATCTTTGTCTTTTAAGGGAGATTTTAACCCACCCCTACAGTATAGTAGTTAATTGTATTATTTTCCTTTATGCAGTTAACTCAGTTAGTCATAAGATTAAATTGCTTTTGAGTTTATTATCCGAGCTTAATGGTTCAATTAGTTTGACAATCGATTAAGATTGTATTCACTTGTACTGTAATCCGTATGTTCAAGTTATTGTTTATTTGGTACGAAAGCTAAGTATGAGCAGGTCTGGATTTGAAGCGGGGCAACGTTTAAGCCCATGCATTTACTTAGTACTAAACTCAATTTTATTTTTATTTATTTATTTATGATTATTATTATTTTCTTTCAACGTTAGTTATTAGCATGCATGATCATAGATGACAAATGACAAACGATTATAGAACGGGGATAACGATCATTTTTTTCACTTTTCGAAATATTATAGATCAAAATGCCAATGTTCCAGAATTAATTCCTTTGTCTCCTAAGAATGCCAACATGATTTTGAGTGAGAGCTTTTATGGCCAAACATATTGGAATGTGAAAGTTCCACCACTCCCTCCGTCTGCTGATTTTTGCATTTTATTGTGTGACAAAATTGGTTGGAACCCTGATCATTTTGTCACAATTTTTTTTTAAAAATTATTCAATTACTATGTGAACAGTAAAATTTTGTAAAATATTATGCATACAAATTCATTACAACAGATAGCGAATTTCATTTGCAGACGTGGTAGCCTTTTGGTGGTCACGTAGTTCGTTACTGTCAGTAGCAAACTATGTGGTAAAAATGTCAGTATGTTTTGAGCATGTTCAGGACACATGCAGCCATTTAGAGTTTTGCTACTGGACACAGCGAACTAAGTGCAACGGTACAAAAAAAAAGTCGTTAGGTCATGTGTCTGATGTGGATAAATTTGCTACTGTCTCTAATGAACTAGGTTGATTTATTTTTTACACATCTGACACACCCATACCCCTATCTTTTCCTAGGTTCTAGTCTAGGAAAAACAAAATTAAAATGAAAATTTAAGATATTATTTCCTTTTTCTCACTGAAACTCATTCCTTATCCAAGTAGAATGTAGAACACATCCCAATACCTCTTATCTTGTCTTCTCTTTCATACTTTTATGTAAACAAAAACAAAAAAATTAGGGGTGTGTTTGAATGTGTTTTTGTTTTTTTGTTTTTAAAAATTGTTTTAAGAACGAAGTTTGAAAACTGATTTTGAGAGTAAAAAAACAATAAAACTTGTTTGAATATGGTTAGTTTAAAGGGGAAGGATATTGTGACAACCAAGTTGTGTTACTATCAAGTGACTACCAATCAATCTCACCGTTAGATCGATTATGTTGATCCAACGGTTATATTTATTTTCATCTTTGTATGGTCATGATTCCCCATATTTAAAGTGAAAGCATTAAATATGGGAAATCATAACCATACAAAGGTGAAAATAAATATAAAGTATTAAATTTGGGGAATCATGACCATACAAAGATGAAAATAAATATAACCGTTGGATCAATATAATCGATCTAACGGTAAGATTGATTGGTAGTCACTTGGTAGTAACACAACTTGGTTGTCACAATATCCTTCCTCTAGTTTAAAAGTTATAAAGAAGATGTAATTCTTTACAAAAATGCCATTAATGAATTCTCAGATTTACAAAAATGCCACCGCAAAATAATTTAAAATAAAATAAAAATCGATTTAATTACGAAAATGTCATTAACGAATCCCCTTATTTATCAAATTGCCACCGCAAAAAACTAAAAACCACAAAACAACTTTGGAAAACATGTAAAACTTGTTTTGCTTTTTCGATTTCCAAAACTAAAAAGCAGACACGATTTTTAAAACAGGATGCATGAAAACAGGTTTTCAAACAAGATTTTTTGTTTTGTTGTTTTTAAAAACTAAAATCTGTTTTTGAAAACACAAATCAATGAGGCCCTAGATCTTTGTTTTTTGGAGGGAATTGCAAGAAGAACACATGAGAGAGAGAAAAAAAGAGAGGGGCCTCGTCTAAAGAAAAAAACAAAAACGAAAATTGGAATGCATGTGACTAGAACCTAAGAAAAGATGGGGCATGCGTGTGTTAGGTATGATATAAAAAAATTAACCTAGTTCGCTAGGGGAGTAGCGAACTTGTCCACCATTTTTTTCCCCTAATCATTGTATTTAGTTTGCTATACCCACTAGCGAATTAAGCATAGTTCGTTATTGTCAGTAGTGAATTACGCGGCCACGTAGTTTGTTATTATCAATAGCGAATTACGCTGCCACTTGAAAGGTGTCAGGCTCGGCAAACGAAATTCACTATCTGTACACGTGACACTTTGAAAAAATTTACTATTAGTCTTGATAGTTGGGTAAATTTTTTTCTAATAGTAGCATTACGGTCATTGTTCCAAATTGATTCCGCTGGGCTCAGTAACAGGATTCACAAGTAGCATTTTGAAAAGAAAAACATTTAGGCTATTTTTTTCATAAATAGTGACAACATGGTCGTTGTCCCTTTAAAACGTACATGAGTATTTAACGGCCAAAGAGAGTAGGAAAAACACCTATGGACTAATATTCTTAATGATAATGGTTATGAACTGATATTCTTCATGATAACGGTATTTTGAAGCATGTTGGTGTAGAGCCTCATTTTACGTGGGGCTTATTTCTCTTATTGATGAATTAGACAAACCACGAACTTAAAAAAAAAATGGTGGAAACAACTTCATGTTTGTTTGAAACGGAAAAAAATAAAAACCAAAGAAATATTTAATAATTAAAAGTGGGTATTAAATGACCTGAATTAATTCTTCTGTTACAATGGTCCTTTTTTTCCCCAACCACTAAATATTTTTTTACCCGACTTATAGCTTATCATCTCTCTCTCTCTCTCTCTCTCTCTCTCTATATATATATATATATATATATATATATATATATATGAAAAATATTTCTCATGAGATAAATTTATCTACGGTCACTCCAAAACTACGTCTTTTTGTTTATTTATTTCTTTATATTAATTGATTCATTTTTGAATGGTTATGATTCCCTTTTTCTCTCTCTTCTTTTATCACCATCGATCCATCTTTGCACGGTTATGATTTAGTAGTCGAGATAATATTGTCTCAAGCAGCTTGAGAAACGATAAGCCTATATATATATATATATATATATATATATATACATGGCAAAATGATTTATGCAGCTGTTGTAACTACAGCTAGCCAGGATCCGTGTGCGGATCCTAAGATACGGCAACGGATCCTTGTTTTTTTTTTTTTTTAAAAACGCCGTGGGATCCACTTTTCTGTGTCAGCTGTAGAGAGTGTTATCTACGGCGGCTGCAGAAATGTTAAGCCATATATATATATATATATATATATATATATATATATATATATATATATATATGATCCTTTGACACCTCATCTGAGAGCCGTTAGATAAAAAAAGATCAATGGTGTCACATGCTTACAAATCAGAGTCGTTACAAATTTGACACCGGTGTCAAAGGATCCTACCTCTATATATATATAGGTTAGGATCATTTTACACCAGTGTAAGTTACACTCTTAATCTTGTCCACTGATCCCATTTATATCTAAGGGCTCAAATTTTTTAGTAATGTGAGTCATTGGATACAAGTGGATCAATGATCAAGATTGAGTGTAAGACTTCTAACCCTTACACCAGTGTAAGAATAATCTGCTCTATATATATATAATATATATATATATATATATATATATATATATATGGAGTTTACATTTTTATTTTCTGCAGTTACTGTACGTGCAGCAATTAAATATTTGTCATATATATGTGAAAGCATTAAATGCGGAGAATCATAACCATACAAAAGATAATCATAACCATACAAAAGATTAAAACCTTAAATGTGGAAAATCATAACCATACACTTGTCGTTGCTGTACGAAAAACGACTGTAAAAACGATTTTACCTATATATATATATATAGAGAGAGAGAGAGAGGAGGGTTTTTTTACTCTAGAATAAGATTTAAAAGTCTTACTTTCCATCTCAACCGTTGATGGACAAAAATCAACGATTGCCACTTATAGTGTAATTTGTAATTAATAATTAATTAATTAATATGATTTCTTAAACTATGATTGTTAGATGGACAGAAATCAATGATTAAGATGAAAAGTAAGATTTGTAATGTAAGTCTTAATCTGAAGTCAAAATATCCTTATATGTGTGCGCGTGCGTAAGAAAAATCTTTTGATTCTAATAAAAAATTTAAAAATCTTACTCTTCATCTTAACCATTGATTTACATTCATCAAACAACTATAGTTTATTAAATTATACTAATTAATTAATTACAATATTAGATGGAGAGAAATCAACGGCTAATATAGAAAATAAAACTTCTAAGTTGAATCAAAAACTTTCTCGTATATGTATATGTATATATATATATATGTGTGTGTGTGTAGAGTAGGATATTCTTACACCGGTGTAAGAGTTATAAATTTTACACTCAATCTTGACCATTGATCCACTTGTATCTAATGGCTCACATTACTAAAAAATTAGAACTCTTAGATATAAGTGAGATCAATGAACAAGATTGAGAGTGTAACACTAATGTAAAATGATCCCGACCCTCGATATATATATATATATATATAACACTATCTTTTAATACCAAATTTCAATAGTTCATTTTTGTCAACAGATACAGTTTATTAAAAATTAATAAATAAATATGACTTAATAATTATATAATTATTAGATTCACAATAACTATTGACTTCCGTCAATAGTATTATAATTTATTGAATCACACTTATTAATTAATCTAAAATTCCCAAAGAATCCTATATCATATACATATAAAGAAGATTATACTTACAATCTATTTTCGTTTACAATCTTTTAAAACAATATCTTAACCGTTAATTTCTATCAATCTAATGGTTATAATTTATTGAATCTCATTTATTAATTAATTACTAATTCCCAATAAATTATAACCGTCAGATTA